CCAAATTTTAATAGGTTACTACTAATTATCACCGTTATCTCCACATTCCTGCAGTTCTTTGACATGTCTAGACATGATGCATTCAAGGCTTTGAACATATATAAAAGAGCCGGCCAGCAGGTTTAAAACGATGCTTTTCTTCAAAGACAGTTTTTGTTGCTGTCCAATATGGGTTCAATCGTGTGCCCAATGTGGAATCCCTATAAAAGACATTAGGTTGAACTGATGGTCAAACTTTTTTTTATCATACAGGCTAAACATCTTGCTGACTTGTATGAATATTGCAAGGGCTTGGACCTTGCTAGGAACTTCCAGTTTCCAGCACTGAGACAGGTTTCCTTTTTGTCATAATAATATCTTATTTGATACCAATAAAGACTTCCTCACTGAGCTTTTTTCTTCAATATATAGCCACCTCCATCGTTTCTTGCTACAATGGAAGATTACCTGAAAGAAGCACCCCAGGCTGGCTCTTCTAAGGAATCGGTGAGTAAAAGCAATACACAAATTACTTGGATAAAGTATGGGCATGTATGTTTTTATGTTCGTCTACGAAGTCCAACTAACAAGCAAGCATCTCTTTGTATACCTAATAAAATGTTAAACCTGCCAATGCAATTCAGATCTGACTCCCTTTAAGAGTGCAAACTATAGGACTTATGCAATATGGCCTGTACGGCTTAAGCCATTCCCTCAAGGTGAGGAAAACCTGGAACTCCTTGAGTGGCTTTGCAGATTTGAGGATGTTATTTTAGAACCTTTCCCCAAACCTGGGCCCGTGAAAAGTAATTTCCCTTGTCCCATATTGAAACAAGATTAAAATTAATTAAAGGCTGATGAATTTTGTGACTTCTTGTAGATTTTTTTTTTTTTATATGTATGGGTATAGAGATATCAAGTATAGACTTAGGCAAAAATGAAAAGAAAAAACAATCAGTGTTGGAAGATTTTTCTTCAGGCATTTTTAAACTTCATAACTTTTATTTTTAAAATTTTAATAAATAATTTTCTTCACCTCATTAAAATAAAAAGTTTTATGTACATACCTCCATCATGCATTAATTGGCACGAAAATCTGATAGGAAACTCTCATCCCAAAAGTAATTATTGAGGTGTGAAAACTCACTCATTTATGAATGTTATAAAACATTTAGTCTCTGTTATTTGGTTGCGTTTGACAAGCTCATATTTTGGTCGCTACACTCTATGACACATCATTGGGTGACTTTCTTTTATTCAAACCCTCCACCAATCATAATCACCTGTTGGCAGTCCTTTTCGGAGTTGCAAATAACCAGTTATGTTCTAATTGATGGGCATCTAACCTAGGGCATTCAAAAGCCATCCGGTCAACCTAGTTAACCCACCATCAATTGGCTTATGACTTAAGAAAGAAGTGAGTATGAATCATCATCATATCAATCTCTTTATTTTACAAAAGTATATAAATGAATAAGTTAAATTGGCCAACTTGCAAGTAATGTGAATTGGTTTTTAATTTATAATATAATTAATATATATATATATATATATATATTATATGCACACAATAGAGCAAAATATAAATTAACTCACTTCCCTTGGACCACCTCTGACCTCCCTTCTGCTGCCGAGTTCCACTCTGGTCTCCAGGTCTCCGGTTGTGGCGTTGCACTTAATGGAAAACCCTCCTTTTAGTATGTGTCTTTGTTCTTGTTGCACTGTAGTAGATATATATTTCCATTTATTCTTTTATGGAAGAGGTATTTACATAGTGAAGATAGTGATATTGATGTTGCTAACGAAATCTCATGAATTGATAAAGGATTAAAATAAAATGTTAAAGTTTAATTATATTATTATGTTTCAACTTTGTTGAATGTTAAATGTTGAAGGCGTATTGAATTGTTTAAAATGTTAGAATGCAGAATGTTAACTCATTTTATATTTAGAATGCAGAATGTTAATACGTTTTATATTTAGAGAGGGAGGGAGGGAGGGAGGGACACATATATTCGTTATTTAATTAAAGGACATTGACATCAGGAGTGTCGGGAAATTGATCAATCACCTAGGAATGAAGAACCAGAAGAACCTGAAGAAAATGAGAAACATACCGTAGAAGAGAGTGAGATTAAAACAGAGGAGGTGGTTGAAGAAAAAGTATTAAAGGAAGAGGAGGTAGAGCCGCCTCCATTGATATCAACTGATGGTACTGATGACTTGCTGGTATGTTTTATTAATCTGGTATTCACTTGCTTGCGTTACTGATTTACAAGAATGGATCACATTTTCGTCCATCTTTGTAGGGTCTGAATGAAATAAATCCTAAAGCTCTAGAATTGGAAGAAAGCAATGCTCTGGCTCTTGCGATTGTTCCATCCGGTAGTATGACATTGAATGTTGTTATTTAATGAAATATACAGCATGGTTCCTGACTTTCTGAGGATCACATTGCCACTCTGCTAATGAATACCACACTGTGACCCATCTTGTAGTCTTTCAGAGGCTGATGGGTGTTTGCATTTAATTTCAACGCCATAATACATCTTTCTTGTATGAACAACAGTTGGCTTTTCTGCCCTGCAGCTTAAAGCTGATAGGAGAAATGACAGATAGCTGTATCAGAAAAACACTATAATAAGTTAGAAATAAATTTTTTTTGAGGATAAAATAGCCCCAAAAAAATCACGAGAATGCCTCTGAGATTTCTCATCCTTGTTTATGTACACCATATTTAGGATGTGGTCTGATTTCTTTTCTTTTTAGACTCAATTATGGCTTATCTTTAAATAACCGTACTTGCTGTTTGATTCTTGATACAAACTTGGTTAAGATTTTGCAATTTTATGCAGGAAATGATCCTTCGACCAGCAATGGGTTGGGTAACATAGCGGGGACTACCGGTTGGGAACTTGCTCTTGTCACAACACCAAGCAACAATATCAGCCAGCCGCTGCCAGATCGCAAAATGGTTTCTTACTCCATTACTTCGTCGATTATCATATTTGGTTTCTAAATCATCTCTAAGTGGAACCCTTGTCAATCTATAAAAATTCACCCTTCATAATTAATTAGGCTATAAAGTTTTGCACTGGCCACCCTTAGATTAGATAGCTGATGTCATGTGCACGAGGCTCATAATCACCAACATGGAGAACAACTCAAATTGTGTGGTTGCATTGAGGTTATGCTATTCGGTTATAAGCCTGGAGACACATCTTCAGGCATGTACATGTTGGACACCTATACTGGCACACTAACACGAGGATCAAAATAAGATTTTCGTTTTATTCTGTTTAAGCACACTTAAAGATTAAGAGATCAGAAACCCCATCTTGATAAGGTAGTAAAAAAATCTTATATAATTTTGCTGTTATACATGAATAATATATATATTTTTATTTAGTTTTTTTTTTGTGGGAAAATAATGCTCCAAGGTATTTAGAATGTAGATCATATTGGTTAGTTTTTTCTCCGGAAGGAGATTATAGGTCCTCATTTCGTTGGTGGAGGAGAATCGAGTAAATTTAGATCATATGTAACGAAGTCTTTCAATGTGCTATATGATAACGCCATTGTTTGACAGCTTATGGGATCTTTTTTTTTTTAATGAGATTGTAAGTCCTTATTTTTTCAGGCTGGTGGATTTGACAAGCTATTACTAGACAGTTTGTATGAAGATGAAAATGCCAGGAGACATCTTGAGCTCCAAAATGCTGGCTATGGATACAGAGGAATGGCCATGCAGACCCAATTTGAATGTCACAATCAGAATCAGTGTGACCCTTTTGCTATATCCAACAGCATAGCACCTCCGACCAATGTGCAATTGGCATTGCTGGAACAGCAGCAGCAGATGTTTCATCAACAACACAGCATGATGATGGTTCCTTATAATAATAATAATAATAAAATTTTACAACCACAATACCCTCAGCAGATGCAGCTTATGGGTTCTTCAAACCCATTTGGAGACCCTTTGCCTGTACCTAATCATCCTTACAATTCAGTGCCTCAACGCGGTAATTACAATCTGCTCTAGAGTCTCCCATCTTACCTTCTTAACACCCTCCCCCAAAACGCGAGGGATTGCATTCTGTATTCTTTGTAGTAAGCTAACATTTTTTCGTTCCTTTATTCAAAACTACCCTGATTCTTTGTTTGCCACTTAATATTATGTATTTTTCTATTCTTAGTTATCAAATTTTTTATTTAGAGATTTTTTCCATCTAACATTCTGATGGGAAGAAAAAAAAAAGAAGTAATTAAAGATATTGAAGATGTAAGAAGATTGAAATATCGAAGATATTTTATTAGGATATTTTATTAATTAGGAATATTTTGTTTTAATTGTCATAATATTTGAATTGTTATTATCTTTTTATTTAATTTTAAAATTTTAAGAATTTCTCATATTTAGTTTTAAAGTTAAGGTTGAGGCGTAAAAATAACATCTTAACTCATTTATTTTAAAAATACACATTTAATTGAATAAAAATTACTGTTATTTTGTTTCTCATTTGAATTTTTTTTTTCTCTCTGATCTCTTTATTGATCTTTTTATTTTTTTCTTATATTTTTTTTCCTTTTTCCTTGCCCGTTCTACATTTCATTCCAAACCCATTATTTAGTTTATACATATATTATGTTGGGACGGAGAAATTTACAAATATATAGAATTTGAAATGCGATGAAATCAAATTGTTGCGCATCATTTGTAGAATTTATTATGTGATCAATTTTTTGTTATATAAGAATTTTCTTTATGTATACTGTATCTCTCCCACTCTATACACACACACATAGCTTACGTTGCATTTTCTTTTTCTTTTATTAGTCAAGTGACCTGCAAGCATCGTCTCTTCCAGCTATGTCACAATATTTTGGTATTACTTGTTCCCTGGTACTGCCGTACTGGGAAACTAGATCCTCAGATGCAACCCTATAAATCTGAGTTTTTAAATGCACACCTGTAGGGCAAAATTGCTCCATATATGTGGAAATCCATAGGATGCTCAGAAAATAAAAATGACCAACGATAACTTTTATTGCTGCGATGATTTGAGGCCGCTTAACATCTCAAATGACTCAGCCATAAATAGGAATGTATATACTATGTAACCCGGAATCTTATTTACATATTCATCTCTCTCAACATCTGCAAAACTTGGTAGACGATGGAAGGACCCTAAAGAAGAAACTCGTTTTATTGCCGCTAAAAGAATTATAATTACAAAAGCTATATACAAAACCAATATGAGCTTCGCTTCACATCTCAGACAAAAGATTGCTGATTTTGCGAAGCTCCTTTAGAGCTGTCATAGCAGTAACCTGCCCTCTGCCAACCAGAATATTCTTGGAGAAGCTCTCCAATGAGGTCCCTTGGCCTTTGTCTTGCTGGAAAACAGACTCAAGAACCTGCCGTGCAAAAAATCAGTCCTTCGTTAATGCCAATCAACCACTTTCACTCCTAAGTTATTAATTAAAGCCCTATAAAATATCGTTTCATGGTAAACTTGAGCAGTGAACAGATCTTCCTTTATTCAAGGGAAAAAAAATTCTTAAAAAAGGGGTTTGGGATATCAATCAATTACGGCATTTCTTTGTTCTTTCTTTTCTTTTTCTTTTTCTTTTTTTTCCTTTGAGTGCTATGTTTCAAGTAAACCGGATGTGTTGAGCATTTCAACATTAAAGATAAAGAAAATTTTCCTCAACTGGACGCATTAATAAGCATTAACTAGTCATGCCAGAGGAAAATGACAATCAAAACAAGCTTACCTGAATATTCTCCAGCATGGACTGCCCAAGATTCCTTAAAGTTCCCATCACATTCTGGTCGACAGAATCTCCTTTGCAACTAACAGGACTACTTTTACTGCATGCAGCTGAGGCTGTTGTGTTGCTTTTACTAGAACTGTTGCCAGATTTTGTAGCTTCCGAAGCATTTCCTCCTTTCTCAGTTATCATCTCATTATTTCGACCAAAATTCCAAAACCACCCAATTTTGTTCACTTTTCTCTCCTCAGACACTCTTGCTGAATTTACAGTGGCATCACTATTGCATCCTGGGTTCTGAGCTATGTTCTCAGGCACAGAAGAGATAGGAAGAGCTGAATCACTGGAACTAGAAAGTGAATCTTCGTTGCTTTCCTTAAAAAATAAATCAGATGCAACACTACTTTTCTCTAAGTAATTTTCTTGATCATTGACTTCATTAGGAGGACTGATTGGATCTGTAAATGAAGATGAGTTTTCCTCGCTGCCAGTATTTCCACTCAGAAGTCCATCCTCCGCGGCGCAACTGTTATCTTTACAGCCACCATCTTGATCCTCCCCTTCAACTCTTACAGAAATATTATCCCGTTGATTTGATGTTTCATGGCAGTGCATTTTATCTGTATCTTCATCTAAGCCAAGTGCCCTATTAAGATCCTCCAGCAAACTGCGCCTAACAGATGCTTTAGGTTCAGTCTTGCCTACCTGAAACTTAGATGGAGATGGGTCAGATTCTGTTCTCTTGAGACTGAATTTCACCTTTTCTGTCCATCCCTTTTTCCAGATAGGAACCTGCTTATTTGAACCATCTTTCTTAGTTTCTCCAGCTTTGTGGACAACTCTCCATTTTTCTTCCCAGTAGCTATCAGGCAACAGATTCAGGGGAGTTCTTGGAGAAACAGTTTCCGATGGAAGGGTGAGAGATCTTGTAATTGGTGATTTGCTTTGGTTATAAACACCGAAAAATGATGATGGTATTGAAATGTTGGTGCTTAACGCGATAGCCTGCAAAGATTTAGCCTTTTCAAGCAGTTTCTTAATGTTGGTGTTCTGAGGGAAGTTTAACAATCTCTGAAGACAGGTTGTAGCATTTTCAGTGGCAAGTAGTGAAGATCTTAAATGAAGTATCATTGCTACAGCCATAGCTGAGATAAATGCCCCACGAGGAGACCGTAAGATCCTAATGCCAGAGTCTATGTCATCATCAGCACCATTTTCCACTTTGCTATTATCTGAGGCAAAGATCTCATCCCAGATTATCAGAAGGTTGTCAAGTGAAAATTCCCGTCCAAATAGAACTCTCAACCAACGGAGAGCAAAGTATTGGGGTTCAACCCCAAGATCTACAAGATGACCATGCAGGTATGAATCCACAAGGGAAAGCAAACAATACAATGCCCTCGAAGCTTCAATTACAGGAGATAAGCTTGTATGGGACCCAGCTGCAGGGGAGGATGAGAAAAAATCTGCCATTGCAACCAGACCATGGGCCCCACTCAATAAAGCATCAAACATACAGTAGGCATCATGTTCGATGAATTTCTCAGATAAAACAATGCCCAGTTCACCTTCAGCACCATAAGTATCACTTAACAATACAATGTCCTGTATATCAGGATCAAGCTCCTCAATACTCTTGACTTTCATAGCATTTCCAAGGGAACCAATTTCATCCTCCATCGAATCCGGAGATTTTCTAAAATCAAAACTGTAAGAAAGATTATTCTCTTGACATAAAAGACCATCAAATCTGTCGGTGAAGTGATCTTCGTAGAGTTTTCGGATTTCTGAAACATGCTCCACATCAGCTTGGAGAACATATAGCAATGGAGCCAATAATTCATGCATTCCTATAACGAACAATGCCAGAGAGCACAAGAAACAGATACTATTAGCCAACTTCTTTACATAACATCTAATACTAAACAAAACCCAACTCTGAATGCCCTGAAGCAAAACTAATTGGGATATATAAATTACCACAGGACAGGATCGTCAAAAATAAAATCACTTCAGATTCTGTTCTTTTATAATACTATGAAAATGGAAATAAAGCAGAAAATAAAATAATTCAAGAAGATTCTAACCAAAATTGAAGAAATAATCTAAGCTAAATCAAACACCAGAATTTATGTTTCTCTTAGCAATTTAACAAGAGGATGAATATGAGCAAGGCATACAATGTGCCTTCTTTTGACTAATGCTGCAAGGCTTTCCAACAATTTAGTTTTTTTTTTTTTTTTTTTTTGGTGGATGGGCGAAAATTCTACAATTAACTACATGAAGATGGAGAAAACGCCCATCATAAAATCAAAAGCATACTAAAATTAAAGCTGACTGTTGCCCCAAGTGTGTGGTTTTTAAACCCCAAAAAAAATGGGGGGACAAAACTTCATATTCTAGGCAATTTGGAATGGGAGGAAGTATGGTAATTATTCAGCTACAACAGAGGAACTGCCAAAAACAAAAAGGGTTTTCATCAAGGACTTAAGACGTCAAAAGTCAATGGCATGAAAGCATATTTCGTGTGTCCTTACACGTCTATACTTCTTATGGAAGAACATAATAAGCATGCCATGGCAAGAGATGCCATGTGTATTCAAGTCTGATTCTCCATGAGTTAAATGGAAAAAAAGTGAATTGTTCTTTAAAACCACTTAAATGACAACTGTATGAGAGATGACAAAGTACAAGTCTACATATGTCAGCCATAGTTAATTGGTTGAGCAACTTACCTTGTCCATAACCACATTCGGGATGCTTAAGACACCACAGTAATAAAATTCGTCTCAACATTCCTTGGCATCCTGGTGTTTGGAAATAACTCCCATGTTCTGGGTATAAACGTGACAAATCCTGATCAACCATCCTCTCCAGCTCTGCATTACGAAAAAAGCGGCTCCATGTACTATCTGTGCATATAAAGGCCATAATAAATTTACAATCAGATGTTAAGAGATGGCATTTAGATCATCTAAAAATTTGCCTACTGCAGTTGCAAGGAATGTTAAGGGGGAAGCAGTAAAGCATCAACAAAAAATATGATTACTGTATATAAACTCCTTTTTTTCAAAATCATGTATTCATTGATTACCATTAATTCTTTGACTAATCTTGACGTGAATTATGTTACTAATAACAAGCAGGAAGCATGGGCATCTCTCTTCAGAAGAAATTTACAAAAGCAAAAGATTTAAAATCTGACAACTAATAAAAATACTATGGAAAGATGGCACAGTTAAAAGCAAGGTCATAAAAAGTTGGACAAAATAACATTAAGTTAAAAGCGAGGTCATGAAAAGTTGCGATCCATGTAGCTAACCCACTTAATGGGATAATACCTGTTATTGTTGTTGTTGTTGTAGTCTTGAGAATACCTAATGTTTTCTACTTTCTAAATCGGTATTTGAAAAGATATTTTTGAATCAGGGATCAATAAGCAGAACAACTGATTTAGCCACCTGTCAAATATTGAAATTCTGTACGAAACAAAATAAACTTTACCTGGATTCTGTGAAAGAGGATTGTCTATGACTAGATCGGGGGAATTACTTCCACCCTTTGGAGTATGTGGATCAACCAGGAGGTGCCTTCTCAAACAAGCATACCTGACAAGATAATATAAAGATTGAGTTTATAGATTATTATGCAAAAACAACCAAACTCAAAAGCGACTTGCATCTAGCTAAACAAATAGGCATCATTTTTAGTGTATCAATTTGGGGAATTCAAATCAATTAATAATATGGCAAAACCATCTGTGAGGTACAATGCCACACTACCACTGGGTTCTTAGATCATGAAAACAAAACCCAATGCAAAAAGAAGAAACAGTTTAATCAATTCTGCCCGAGAACGGGAATATACAATCGAAACACCTAGATATAATTATGTAATTCAGTCTGCGCTGCACCATCCTCTAACATGTGCGCGCATGACGAGGGATGTGTTGAGATGATCTGAACAAAAAGTAGCCTTATAAAAGTACATAGCTTTTTTAAATTGTACACGAAGCTCTGTCACTCACAAAATGTTATATATATTTGATATGATTGTTGACTGACTTACCTCCTTCGAGAATCAGCAGTGGCCCGACGAAGATAATCAATAGAAGCTGAAGATGGCAAAACCCCGAGATTTATACGCCACTGCAAACCTCTAAGATCTCCAAAACGCCGATTCTCCTGCGCAGATCCTTGAGAAACAGAATCGGAGCTCGAAGGTGGCACCGACAAAGATTCTGGCATTACTGGATTCACTAAAGCCGGCGGCATGATTATACGGCAAGTCCCTCACTAACTCAGACGCTCAGAGTCAATGGAAATTCAAAACAAACACGAGCTCGGCACAATTCAACAGGATTTGTCGAAAACCCTGAACTGCAAGCAACAAGAAAGAAATAAATAACTTGAATTTCTAGAAAGGCAAGCAATAAACTTAAAAAACCTACACGCCGTCAAATATTTGAGTAGAAAACATGAGAAAATTAGGAGATTAGGAAATCGCCGAAACAGGCAAAGAGCCGTTAAAAAGAGGAGGAGGCAAAATTACGGAGAATAGAAGCAGAAGCGATGGGTGAAATCGCGGAGGGAAAAGGAGAGAATCAAGTCCAAGCTGGAGAGATGACACTTGCATATTTCTTCATTGATCACTCTGAGTCTGACTCCGATGCAAAGAAATAAGAGAGAGAAAAGGAGAGAGAGAATAGGGAGTTTGTTTTTGTGCAGGGGAAAGCAAAGACGAAGTAATATGATACGATAAGAGAAAGAGAAGACCTTCGGGTGGGACGGTCGGCTGAACTGTCGCCTTCCTGCTAGCTTCCGCCTCCATTCTCTGCTTTTACCTTCCCTTCTCATTCATTCACCCCAAAAAAATAAAAAAGACAAACAAACACAGAAAAAAGAAAAGAAGCACAATAATGAAGAAACAAGGGCCTGGTTTGATTGCCTCTCCTTGCGGCTCGCAGCAACTTTTTCTTTTGAAAAATAAAAATATTTGTTTACAAATATGTTTTTTGTTATTTCTTTTTAAAAATTAAAAAAAATCTGAAAAATGAAAAAACTATAATATTTTTCTATATTTTGTTACTTTTTGTTGCAAAACTAAAGAAATGCAAAAAGATGATTTTTTCATTAAGGATGATTATATTAATAAAATAAATAATTATTTTACCCTTTATTTCATCATTTTACATATGTGTTTCATAATGATTCAAATTGATATTTTTTATTTTTTATTTTTAAAACTTGTTCGAGAAAATTACTTTGCAGAATTGTGTTAAGAGCATAAGAACCAATCAAACTATTTTTACTTTTTAAGAATATATATATATATATATATATTAAGCATAGAGTGACACTTTTTAAAAAAATTTAAATATTAATTTATCACGTTAAAAGATTAGGTCAATGTGATTCATGTATTATATAAAATTTAAGATATTGGCCCCATTATTTTTATTTACAAATGGTATACCTTGATATAAATTTTGTATATTTTATATTAGCTTGTTTGTATAATGTTATATACCCATACCTTAAAATGCAATTATTAACATCTTAAAAAGGTGAATAATTAATTATTAGTGAATTGGTTTGATTATATATATATATTCAAAAAAAAGTGACTTAACTATATATGATATAACAATATTTGTTTAATACATATATAAAAAAAATAAAACTTATAATAAGTCATAGCATTGCCTGACTAATTTCTTATTCATTATGTAATGGTGAGAAAGTATGCCTAATTTTAAAATAAAAGTCTTAGAAAATTTATGCAATTGGATTGACGAATTATTGGAGACTGGAGAGTCGGTGAGTGTCTCATTCAAATAAAGTAATTTGTTAGATGAAATGATGATGTCCCATATTTGCTTAAGCAGCTTGTTATGGGACATTATTGTTTTATGTTCAATCATCCATGGTACAAAGCAGCATGTTAGATGAATTTTAATAAATTTGTTTCATTAGGTCATCATCTTTGTTTTATTTTTGTCTCTATTTTATATCCCTCCACTTTTTCCTAATTAATTAACCATAACAAGGGATGACAATTAAAAATTGGCAGATTCTGCGTAAATGCTTCTGGTTCTACCCCGCGCGTTCATGTCCATGGGACTTGAATGCAAAGAAAAGTATTTGGGGCAATGTTGAAAAATCAAAAAGATTTGGGGCATGGCTTGTTGACGAAAGGGAATTCGGGGGTGTTAACAAAAAATACCTAATGTTTCGGGATGTATTCGAATGACGTGGAAGATACGGGTCAAACTCTTCCTTGATGTTCGTTTGTATAATCTTATGTATTTTTTTTTTTTAAAAAAAAAAAAACTTTCTTTGTTTTAATTAATCACAATGAAACACGAGAAATAGACTGAAAGAGGACAGGAGTTGATGACCCAACGTTACGTTTTAATGATTTCCTAAATGACGCTACTGGTTACCAGTGCTCAGATCATAGCCGTTCATCTGCGTTGGTGTCGTATTTAATATTAATACATGTATGCGTGTGCGTAATTAATTGAAATATTGCTTTTTAATATTTAAAATTTTGATACGTATATGATACATTTAGGGTGGAGTTGATTCTTTAGAGGAAAAATAATAATAATATTTTTTAAAATATGTAAATGATAATTTGATCCCTCAAAACGTCATAATTCTCCTGAAGTCTTTAAAAATTTTTCACTCATTAATGAATTTATAAAAATTATCAAATTGACCTTGTTAAAAATAAATTATTCAAAAATTTTGTTTAAATATTCACAACTTTTTTTCTTATATTCATAACAATGCAACAACAAATAAAAAATTTAACATGTAAAACTCACAACTTTACATGTTAAATTTTTTATTTATTGTTACATTGTTATGAATATAAGAAGAAAAGTTGTGAATATTTAAACAAAACTTGTAAATCATTTGTTTTTAACTAAGGTATTTTAGTAATTTATATAAATTCATCAATGACAGAAAATCTCCAAGAACTTCTGAAAAATTATTACATTTTAAAAAATTAAATTATTATTTATATTTTAAACAAATTTTATTATCATTTAACTTTCTTTAAAATCAGCTAGATTTATTCCATCGCACAAGATATTAATATTTAAAAGATAAAAATAACACACACACACACATATATATAAATTAAAAAGATTAAAATATATTTTTATTCTCTAACTTTATATGAAATTTTAATTTAATTTCTTAATTTTATAAAATATTTTTTTATTTCTTTAACTCTTATTATTGTTAGTTTTAAATAATTATTTTTTATACCAATCGTTGTTATTTTAAAAAATTAAATTTATTATGTTAATATTTAAAAATATTTTATTAATATTAAAAGTTCAATGTAAATCTTTTTTTTGATAAAACTAAAAATGTGAAAGTTAAAAAATTAAAAAAACACTTTATAAAATTAAGAGATTAAAATAAAAATTTATATAAAATTAAATAACTAAATGTATGCTTTAACCAATTTAAAAAATTTATTTTTATGTACTCAAAATATCATATTTTGTTAATTTATATAAATTAAAATTTAAATAATAATTTACTCTATATTAAAAAATATTTTGTGCATACATATTAAAGATAAAAAAAATTACTTATTTTATCTTAAAGTGTTTTATTGTTAGGATATATTTGCACTTGTTCTTTGATTAATATGAGAGAAAATTTTGAAATCAAGTTGAAAATATACTTCCATCTAAGTTCTCCCCTCCATAATTAATTGAAGAAACAAATTTGCCCCTGCAAAATATTCTTGAATCCTTTATCAATTGTTCCATATAAATAAAAATCTAAGCAATAATTTATATTTTGATATACGTTTTTTTTTGATAAAATATTTTGAAATATGTTGCTCTCATCATAAGGATAACTTTTTTTTTTTCCATTGAGAAAGGAGAGACCCAAAAATAGGATCAACCGATAGAAAGCTGTGATTGACCAACGCCTATTATATCATCCATTAAGTGCTTGTTTGGTTTCACAAAATAATCAATTATTTTATTATTAAAATTGATTAATCAAAAACATAGCCAAACACGTAAAAATTATGTAATCGATTTTAATGGTTAAAATTGAGTTTTTTCAGAAATTGGCAATTGGAACGTCTGCGGATAATCCATCAAGAAGCATTGGAGAAAATTACAAATAAAGACTCAAGAAAAAATTATAAAAAAGCCCAAAATTTAATAAAAATAAAATCAATAATATATTTTACTTCTTAAATAAAATGTAACAACTTTAATAATATTATGTATAAATTTATTAATAATTTAATTTAAAATACAATGTCCTTTATGATAATTTATACAATTAAAATTAATTTTGAATAAATTATTTAAATATCTTCAATTTTATTAAAATTAATTTTAGAAAAATGATATCCAAACAAATTGTGTTATAACACAATCAATTATGATTAAAACCTACCACTTAATCAATTATTTTTATAATTTATTATGCTCAATTGAAATTCAAACGGATCCTAAAAAATGTTGTAGCCCATCAAGAGGTCGGTTCGGGTGACACTTCCCAAGGTAAGGATAACTTCTTAATATACTGTAGGATATTATGCATATTAAAAAATATAAGTTATATTGTTTAAAATTTCTCACCTCCGCCAAATTAAAGTATACTTAATTTATGCTTTTTCAAAATTTGTTCACTTATACATCATTCTAAATATATATATATATATATATATATACTATAATAAACTCTATACTATAATTTATGTCACAATATAAATCACATACTCCAAAACTAAAAAAATAAATATATGTATATATTAAATAATGATTTTAAATTAAGAAAATAGTATAGCTAATATTATAGTATTCCCTCATGTCTTATATATAAGCCACTTTTGATTGTCTCACTGTAGTTAAGGAGATGTAGTTAAATTATTAATTTTTTTAAAAAATTAAATTTACCTAAATTAAATGCATCATATATGTATAACTTTTTTCTCTACTTATATAAAAAAATTAAAGGATAAAATTAAAAAATAATTAACGATTCATTTTTCATGTGGAAAAAAACTTATCAAATAGACTATCAATTACTTATAAAAAGTGATTCAAATATACAATTGTTGGTAATGCTATTTATCAATTACATGAATTGCATTCTTACAATTTCTCAAACTTTCTCCCAACTATAAAATTTAAAATAAAACTAAAAATTGTATTTTTAAAAAAGTTTAATGGGGTTACTGTTCAAAAAGTGTTGATAATTTATAATTTTTACCCCATGTATATTAAAAAAATAAAAAATAACTTCCTATTTGAACAAATTATTTGTATTTTAATCTACAATTTATTATTTTTTTTGTCTACATAATTTATTATCTTATACATATGTAAAATACAAACTACAAATAATATTTCATACCTATCATTTTTAACATGAATATCATATTTACAATTATTTTTTGTCATGAGTCTCATGACAAAAAAATCCCCACAACTGGCAGTCATGAGGCATATCTCTCAATTTAGTGTTATTGATCCCACATTATCTTTAAACATATAGAAATTTTAAAAAAGTGTTACTGTTTATTTGACCGTAGATTAAGGGTGCACATGGGCAGGGCTGGGCTGGGCAAGAACCTGCCCGATGCCCAGCCCGAAGAATGAATGGTCTGCAAAATACAGCCCGAAGCCCAGCCCTGCCCACAAAATGCCCTATTAGTTTGGGCTGGGCTGGGCTGACTGGGCAGC